GCCCTGGATTAAGTGACAGCCCAAAAGCCCCTGAGCCCACCCCATGCTTCCCCTCCCATCCAAGTGTGCCGTTGCAAAGGATGCAGGCCCTGGGATGGGATGAACAGGACTTGGCTTGTTCTCCTGATGGTCTTCAGACAGTATTTCAATACCAATTCAGCTAATCTGATGGTGGACAGGACAAGTCACAAAAAGAGGCTTTAACAGAGCAACACAGGTGGAAAGGACCCCCGAGGTCTTCTAGTCCAACCCCCTGCTCGAGCAGGAAACCCTAGACCAGGGGTCTTCCAACGTGGCCCTTTGATGACTTGTGGACTTCAACTCCCAGAATTCCTGAAGCAGCCAGGCAGACTCAGGAATTCTGGGAGTTGAAGTCCACAAGTCATAAAAGAGCCAAGGTTGCCTACCCCTGGGCCCTAGACATTTCAGACAAGTGGCATGCCTGGCTGAGGAATTCTGGGAGTTGAAGTCCACAAGTCATCAAAGGGCCACGTTGGAAGACCCCTGCCCTAGACCACTCCAGACAAACGGCTGTGAAATCTTTTATTTAAAAACCTCCAGTGAGGGAGCACCCACAACTTCTGGTGGCAAGCTGTTCCACTGGTTGATTGCTCTCATTGCCAGAAAATCTCTTCTTATTTTCAGGTTATATAACTCCCTGCTTAGTTTCCATCCATTGCCCTTCCTTCCTTCCTTCCTTCCTTCCTTCCTTCCTTCCTTCCTTCCTTCCTTCCTTCCTTCCTCCCTCCCTCCCTCCCTCCCTCCCTCCCTCCCTTTCTCTTATAGAATCATATTGCTAGGTGGGACCTTGGTTTTCTAGTCCAATCTCTTCTTAAAAACCTCCAGTGTTGGACCTTGGATATTGACAGTTGGAGCACCCACAACTTCTGGAGCCAAGTTGTTCCACTGATTAGTCCTGAAGAAATTTCTCCTTATCTTCAGGCTGCTTCTCTCCTGGATTAGTTTCCATCTAAAGTTGCTTCTTCTCCTGCCTTCAGGCCCTTTGGAAAATAGTTTGACTCCCTCTTCTTTGTGGCAGCCCCTGACATATTGGAACACTGCTATCATGTCCCCCCTAGTCCTTCTTTTGACACTTAATAATAATAATAAAGTTGGAAGGGACCTTGGAGGTCATCTAGTCCAACCCCCTGCTCAGGCAGGAAACCCTAGACCATTTCGGACAAATAGCTGTCCAGTCTCTTCTTAAAAGCCTCCAGTGTTGGAGCATTCACAGCTTCTGGAGGCAGGTGGTTCCACGGGTTAATTGTCCTCACTGTCAGGAAGTTTCTCCTTAGTTCCAGGTTGCTTCTCTCCTTGATGAGTTTCCATCCATTGCTTCTTGTCCTGCCTTCAGGCGCCTTGGAGAATAGCTTGACTCCCTCTTCTTTGGGGCAGCCCCTGAGATATTGGAAGACTGCTATCCTGTCCCCCCTCGTCCTTCTCTTCGTTAAACTAGACATACCCAATTCCAGTTTAATTCAGCAAACATATTTTAACCATATTTTTCCTCCTGCCTCTTTCCTGCAGAAAGCCTCCACGGAACTGCCTACAAACAGTTCATAAACAGGACAGGATTGTATGTATGGCGTGGGGTTTTTTTCTTTCTTTCTGCACAACACAGAAAGCATTGTTACTTAGCCTGGTAAAAAGCAAAACTCAGCTCTGCTAGAAAACCCTCATTGTTAAAAGGGCTGCACACTGCCCTGAAGCACACGCAAAAGGTGGGACACAACTGTTAAATCCTAAGAGAGGAAGCTGCCTTTTGTGACACAACAGCTGCTGGTTGTTTAAACCCGGGGTTGTCTTCTCTGATTGATAATAGTCTTCACCAGGCCTCTTGGGAAGAAAGGATCCAAGGCATTAAGTCTAATTAACATTATAATTCCCCTCTAATGGAAGACACAGGAGAACCCTCTTCCCATCTGCAACTATGGGGTGTTTTAAGTGGTCCTTCTGCATCTTATTTTTTTTTCCCCTTCCCCACTGCAAACCTTAAATGGAATATGCAAGGCATTAATTTCTATTTCCTACTCTTTAACTGCCTCCCTTCCTCTCCCGCTTTACAACAAACTTTGTGTGTGCAAATCCATCCCATCAGGCTAACAAACAGCGCATGAAACAGGCAGGCTAGTTTTTGAGTCAGACAAACAAGCAATGGTGGCTGAGCTCTGAGGGTCCCTTCCAATTTGATAAGAAGAATAGGATAGAGCTGGAAGGGACCTTGGAGGTCTTCTAGTCCAGCCCCCTGCTCAAGCAGGAGATAAGCAGTGTATAAAAAAACTGAGGATGCCCCTGACATATTCACAGATATACATTGGGCCTCTGCAAAAAAAATTCACGTTTGTCTCTTTTGAAGAAACAATGCAAAATGCTCTCAAGAAACTCCACAGCTGGGAGAGGTTTCTCTGAAGCTTGTAAAATTCCACCTCTACTGTATTTACATACTGATTCATTTTTGCTTTTTTTTTTTTTTTTACTTTTAAAGTTTTAACTTTTAATACAATGTTTTTAACCTTCCAGTTATTTTATATGATTGTGTTCTAGTGATGTGAGCTGCTTTACAGAGAGATGGGCGTCATCTAGATTTAAACAACATAACAAGCAAAACTGGGGTCCAGATGTGGAAAATGTAAAAAAGAAGAATCCAAAACTTGAAAACAGCCAGGAAAAAAAAAAACCCACAAAACAAACAGACACAATAAAGCAGTGGTTCTCAACCTTTCTAATGCCGCAACCCCATAATACAGTTCCCCATGTTGTGGTGACCCCCAACCACTTATACATCACCGGGTGCCAGGGTGTGGCCAAAGAAAAGGGGGAAAAAATGGCAGACAGCCTTGTTTAGCGACCCCCGTGAAATGGTCGTTCGACCCCAAATGGGGTCCCGACCCACAGGTTGAGAACCACTGCAATAAAGGAATCTACCACCTCTGATTCCCTTTCTAAGATTCAGCCTGGAGTAAAAACCCTTTTACTGGTGGATGGTCAACATCTGTTGCTTTTTCTTTTTTTTTTTTTTACGGAGGTGGGCAAAGAGGAAGCACAAAGGCCAAAAAAAAATAGAAAAAGGTAGGTGCAACTATAAGGAGGATATAACCAGCCCCTGCTGCAAATGTACATAATCCCCAGCAAGGCATATTTATGTCCAACAGGTAAAAGCTGTTCTCCATCTTCATGTGTCAGTATTTTAAAGTGGGACTTAAGGTTATAAAAGCCAGGATTTCTAAAAAAAAAAAAAATTAATCACCCTAGGACAGGGGTCTTCCAACTTGGCCCTTTCATGACTTGTGGACTTCAACTCCCAGAATTCCTCAGCCAGAATTCTGGGAGTTGAAGTCCACAAGTCACCAAAGGGCCAAGTTGGAAGATCCCTGCTTGTGGACTTCAACTCCCAGAATTCCTCAGCCAGCCACACTGGCTGAGGAATTCTGGGAGTTGAAGTCCACAAATCATCAAAGGGCCAAGTTGGAAGATCCCTGCCTTAGATCAAACATGCCTTATTCCTTAGATAAGGGCAAGCACGTGCACACACACACCCTATTTCCTTTCCAGCCCCATCTCCCCCCCACACACACCTCTCTCTATACCACACATCAGCTGTGGTGTACAACACAGACACAAAGCACCGGAAAAGCCCTGCCAGACCCCACCCCTAGGATCTCCCCCAACCGGCCAGTTGGAAACCACCAGAGGCCAAGTTTGAAGACCCCTGATATAGACTTTAAAAAGAGGAGTGGACTTCAACTTCCAGAATGCCTCAGCCAGCGTGCCTGGCTGAGGGATTCTGGGAGTTGAAGTCCACAAGTCATCAAAGGGCCAAGTTTGAAGATCCCTGTCTTAAAGCCTCCTGGCTGAGGAATTCTGGGAGTTGAAGTCCACCAGTCATCAAAGGGCCAAGTTGGAAGACCCCTCCCTGCCTTAGACCAAACATGCCTTATTCCTTAGATAAGGGCACACACCCCCCAGACTTATTTCCTTTCCAGCTCCACACACCCCTCTCTGTACCACCCATCAGTTGCGGTGTGCAACACAGACACAAAGCACCGGCAAAAGCCCTGTCAGACCCCACCCCCCTGGGATCTCCCACAACCTTGCAGCTGGAAACCACCAGAGTCTCTCTCCCCCCCATGAGAAACGGGGGGGGCAGTCCACCCCACCATCCTTTGCCACAGAACCGGGGCAAAGTGAATTCCAGAAAGGCTGGATCAGGCAGGCCGTTGCAAACCCGCCAGGACTGGCTCGTGCACACGCACACGCCTTTCCACAAATGCGTGCAACACACACATACACAGGTACAAAATGCCCCTGCAACCCAGCGCTCGGGCACCCCCAATTGCTGCATCCGAGGGGCAGTTAGGCAAGGGTTGCACAGCCACACCCGGCCCTCTCCGGGCGGCCTGTCGTCCCCCCCCCCAATTCCAAGGGCACTCCCCAACCCGCGGTGCCCACCCCACCCCCCGGGGGGCTTCCAGGCGCCGCACACCTTAGGCCACTTCAAAGGCTCACCTGGAAAGAGGCGGGCACCTTTTGCAAAAGGGGGGGGAGGCCAGGACATGCCTCGCCCCTCCCGTGCCCGCTTCCAAGCCCCCCACCCCAGACCAGCCCCCCTCGCCCCCCCCCCGAGTGGAATTACCCCAAAGGCGTTGAGCAGGAACCGCTGGGTAATCCACGATGCCCTGCGAGGCTTTCCCGAACTACCACTCCCGGCATGCCTTGCCGCCTGCCGTCAGCGCGGGGCTGCTGGGAATTGTAGTTTGCGCTTCGGCCGCGGCTCCCTCGCTGACTGGCGGGCGCTCTCGCCGCCCCGCCCGGCTCGGGGAGGCTCTTTCCAGACGGCCGACGGCCCCAGCCAGACACGCGTGGGGAAACACGCGTGCATTCAGACGTGCCGACCCCTCCCTCCCCCCCCCCCAGACAGGGCAGGAGGGCCGAGCGCGCGCCCGGAGGCCCCGTCCCGGTGGGTTCCCCTTCAGCCTCGACCCGGCCCGGCGCTCCCTCACCTCGGCCTGCTGCGGTCCCGCTCGAGCCTCGCCTCGCCGCTACGGCTGCCGCCGCTGCTGCTGCCTCGCTCGGCCGCTCCCGGACCGGCATCGGGCGACGACGGGGCGGGGCGGTGGGCGGGGCGGCTCCGCCCTCTGGGGCGGGGCGTCGGGGCGACTGCAGGGAAGGCGGATGGGGGCGAGGCGGGGCTTCTGCGGTCGCCCCGGCAACGGCGGAGGGCGCCGCCTCCTCCTCGCTTTTGAGGCGGGAGCGGCCCGCTGAGGGAAGGGAGAGCCGCGCGGCGGCCGAGGGGAGAGGAGGATCGGCGCTGGGCTGCCCCATGAGGGGGTCGTTTCTGGCAGAATTGGAGGGTTTTCCCTCAGAAAAGGCCTTCTCGGACTTAGTTTTTATCCTAAGTTTGGAGCTGGGTAACTGCTCTGAGGAAAAACGTCGCCTCAAGTGTTGACGCCAGCCCTTCAGAGTAGTCCAGCCGAAGAGAACCAAATAATGCTCATAGCTCTTACTACTTTTATTAAAACAGAGTCTTGCCAGCCTCAATGTGCTCCCTCCTCAAAAGAAGTCACCTCCGAGGCATTTTTCCCCAATTACATTTCTGCCTCAGGCTTCAGGGATCTCCTGGTGGTGGCTTTTTCCTCCAGTCCAGTCTCTCAAAGTTACACTATTCTTACAGCCTGTTAGGAAGACTTCCCGCCTTTTTCACAGGCAGGAAGACTTCGACTTGAGACCACCGTTAGGTCTTCTGTCACTAAGCGATGTGGTCATTAACTGAATTCCGCCTGATTTTTACAAACTTTTTGGGTCGCGGTTGTTAAGTGACTTACATGGTGGTTAGGAGACTCTCATTAGGTTGTTCACACCCAATTTTACAATCTCTTTGCCACATTGTTAAGCGAATCGTGCAGTCGTTAAGTGAGACATGTGGTCGTTAACTGAATCTGCCTCCGCCTCCCATTGACTTTGCTTATCAGAAGGTCACAAATGGCAATCACAGGATCACAGGACACTACAACTGACACAAGTACATGCCAGTTGCCAAGTGGCTGAATTTTGATCTGGGGGGGGAAATGCTGTTACGGTCATAAGTGTGATGACCAGTCATAAATCACTTTTTTCAGGGCAATTATATTCTTTTTATTTATTTATTTATTTGGTTTCTATAGCCAACCAGCTCAAGCAACTTAACTCTTGGTCGCTTATAACATATATATAATCTCCTGCTATTTTTTTTAAAAAGGGTTATTTCAGAGAATGAATATCTCATAAGAATAAGAAAATTTTAATTCGTTTTCCCAATAATATCCCATTATGTCTAATTGCCTCCAAAGCTGGGAATAATGTATTTCCCAGGATTTCAGAGCCGACAGAATAAAAAGTCTAACTGTGCTCAAAATGGTACATAATCAGTGCCATTTTAATACCAAGAAAAACAAGAGCTAATAAATACGCTTGCTGGTATAATACAATAATAATTTGGAAGATTAAAACCCCATTGGGAACCATAACCCAGAAAGACACCATCTGAGACCATCTCAGAGTCCTTACCATTCTTTACAAATTTAATCATTACATTATCAAAAATATCTAAGGGGAATTAACAGAGGCGTCCCTGCTAAACTATGTAACCATTGTGAAGCTATACATATTCATTGTTACCACATTTAATTCTTCTCCAGCGTCTCGTAGGGATTGTTAACCATCTATTAATATCACCATTAATTTGTGTAATGGCATTTGAGATACACAAGTCTATCAACAAAGAGATTTTACTGGAATAATTAGTCCTGAATATTTTAGAAAATCCACTTTCCCAGCTTACAGGCAATCATTTCTTAGGTTTATAGTACCTTCAATATTCCCAAACCAATTAAGGAATAGTCAGATATTATCAAATACTACAATTTATCTATGAAAACTAAGATGGACCCTGGTGTATCTCTTGGAAAAACAATTGCAGGACAATTACTCTATATTATGCTATAAAACAGTTCGTTTAGCAACCATTCAAAGTTACAACGGCACTGAAAAAAGTGACTTAGGACCGTTTTTTCACACTTACAACCGTTGCACCATCCCCAGGGTCACGTGATCAAAATTCAGATGCTTGACAACCGGCTCGTATTTATGACGGTCACAGCGTCCTGGGATCACGCGATCCCTTTTTGCGACCTTCCAACAAGCAAAGTTAATCAGGAAGGCAGACCCACTTAACATCCACGTCACTAACTTAACCACCACAGTGATTCACCTAACGACTGCTTTGCTTAGCGACAGAAATGTGGAGCTCAATTGTCATAAGTCGAGGACCACCAGTATAGGAACTTTCTGAGATTCAAACCAGAGCATCCAGTTCTGGATTCCAGTTCACAGCCCTTCCTTTGGCCTGTCATCAACTCCCAGATGGGAGGATGGCACTGTTGTAAGCCTTCTCAAATTGTGTGGAATACAGGTTGTCTTCCACTTACGACCATAATAATAATCATAATAAAGTTGGAAGGGAACTTAGAGGTCATCTAGTCCAACCCCCTGCTCAGGTAGGAAACCTAGATCATTTCAGACAAATGGTTACCCAGTCTCTTATTAAAGACTTCCAGTGTTGGAGCATTCACAGCTTCTGGAGGCAGGTTGTTAATAATAATAATAAAGTTGGAAGGGACCTTGGAGGTCATGTAGTCCAACCCCCTCCTCAGGCAGGAAACCCTGTACCATTTCAGACAAATGGTTATCCAGTCTCTTATTAAAGACTTCCGGTGTTGGAGCATTCACAGCTTCTGGAGGCAGGTTGTTAATAATAATAATAAAGCTGGAAGGGACCTTGGAGGTCATGTAGTCCAACCCCCTGCTCAGGCAGGAAACCCTGGCTGTCCAGTCTCTCTTAAAAACTTCCAGTATCAGAGCATTCACCTCTTCTGGAGTCAGGTGGCTCCACTGGTTAATTGTTCTAACTATCAGAGAATTTCTCCTTAGTTCCAGGTTGCTTCTCTCCTGGATTAGTTTCCATCCATTGCTTCTTGTCCTGCCTTCAGGTCCTCCTGCTTGAGCAGGGGGCTGGACTAGAAGACCTCCAAGGTCCCGTCCAGCTCTATTCTATTCTGTTCTATTCTATTCTATTCTATTCTATTCTAAAATTAGCAGAGGTCCCCAACCTATGGGACCATGGCCCACTACTGGACCATAACCTCTTGGCCACTGTGCTGCGTAAGTGACTGGCCAGCGCACAGGCGCACTTATGCTTGTGCCGGCGCTAGCCGAGCCCCGAGCCGTGCACCAGTGCTAGCCGAGCGCGCATGCTTGTGGCCCTGTTTGCATGCATGCCACATTTCCACATGTGCGCATACACACATAAATGTCCCTACCACTCCTTTTCCCACCGGCCGTCAACCCAGAAAGGTCAGAGACCTCTGAAATACCGATTGCCCCCTAGTCAACTTTGATTCTTGGCGATTTCAAGCTTTCATCCAACTTTCATCAACAGGAAGTCTTTTGTCTTTCCCTTCTTGCAAAATATTTTGACCTTTGGTTTACTCTTCCACCCCAGGATGGCCCGCTAATCTTCTGCCGGTGAATTAACCCATCCTTCACCTGCTTTGCTTCCCAAAATTAGTCAACGCCAGCTGTAACCAGGAGTTGCCACCTAGAATGTTGCGTAATCTAAGTTTATTTGGTTTGGATGATTGTCACCGGCCTGTTTTTTACCCAAGATTACAGAATCCAGGAACTGCACGCTGCTCAGAGTTGATTGAACTTCATAAACCCCGCAGCGTAAGTCAGTGCAGGAGCCCCAAAGTTATGTTGCTAAGCGAAACATTTATTTGTCCCGTTTTACAACCTTTCTTGCCACCATCGTTAAGCGAATCATTGCAGTGGTTAAGTTAGTAACCCGGTTATTAAGTGGATCCGGCTTCCCCTGCTGACTTTGCTTGTCAAAAGGTCCCAAAAACGGATCACGTGACCCCTCTGGACCGCTGAGACCGTCGTAAATACGAGTCAGTTGCCAAAGCGTCCGAATTTGGTTCCCGTGATCACGGCAGACGCTGCAACGGTCGTAAGTGTGAAAAAACAGCCCGGAGTCACTTTTTCAGTGCCGTGGAACCTTGGAACAGTCACTAAATGAACCGCTGTAATTTGGGGACTGCCTGTATGGAGGTGCATTCGTACTCAAGAGCAAAATGTCAACAAAAGGACAACACACACTCAAAAGAAAGAGTTAACAGGAGCCCTCTGTAATCTTGGTGAACTTTTGCCCAGGAAGAGCGGAAGAGAGAAAGGATTTCCTGGTGGAGCTTTTTCTCTTTCGAATCACCACCAGGAAAAAGATCCAAAGGAAATAGATCGGATTCTTTCTCTTCTCTAACCCCCAGGAGCGCACTTTGGGTGGTGCCTGCAGCGACAACCATGTGCTGCTCTCGGGATCAACGCGTGCAAAGTTGGAAATCTTCATTTGTTTCCTCAAAAGGCATCTTTCCAAGGCTGTTGGGCTATGCCAGGGATGTCCTTTCACGCTCAGAATAGAGCTGGAAGGGACCTTGGAGGTCATCTAGTCCAACCCCCTTGCTCAGGCAGGAAATCCTATATTATTATTTCAGGCAAGCGGCTGTCCAGTCTCTTCTTAAAAGCCTTCAGTGAGGGAGCTTCTGGAGGCAAGGAGTTCCCCTGGTTAATTGTCCTCCCTGTTAGGAAGTTTCTCCTTAATTCCAGGTTGCTTCTCTCCTGGATTAGTTTCCCTCCGTTGCTTCTTGTCCTGCCTTCTGGTGCTTTGGGGAATAAGTTGGCCCCCATTTCTTTGTGGCAGCCCCTCAAATACTGGAATACTGCTATCATGTGTCCCTTAGTCCTTCTTTTCTCTAGATTAGCCATACCCAAATCCTGCAGCTGTTCTCCATATGTTTTAGTCCAGTGATGGCGAACCTTTTAGAGACCGAGTGCCCAAATTGCAAACCAAAACCCACCTATGCATTGTCAGGTGCTGGGTGGGTGTGGCCCATTAGGTGGGCGTGGCTGTGGTAGTAACAGCAGACTAGGTGGGACTAAAAAGTTCAATCAATCAATTCCAACTTTGCAAGATCTTTATTTTTCCCCCGCAAGAAGTTAAAATTGACTGATGGATTGAACCTTTTTTTTTTTTTTGCACATGGCAGTGGAGGCCTAAAGCGAAAAGGTTTTATAAAACCCATCTGAAGGCTTAGGGCTGGGGCGACGGCGCGCGTGCCCACCAAGAGGGGTCTGAGTGCCGCCTCTGGCACCCGGGCCATAGGTTCGCCACCACTGGTCTAGTCTGCATAAACCTTTGATCATCTTAGTTGCTCTTCTCGGCACTTTTTCCAAAGTCTCACCATTTTTTATTTTTATTTTTTGTAATGTGGTGATGCAGGATTCCAGGCGTGGTCTTACTGAGGCTTTATAAAGCCGTGCTAATACTTCACATAATTTTGATTCTATGCCTCTGTTTATGCAACCAAGGATTGTGTTAGCTTTTTGGGCTACTGCTGCACACGGCTGGCTCCTGTTTAAGTGATCGTCCACTAGGACTCTGTCAGAGCGTGCAGTCTTCTTGCGCAAGATAACCCAGGAGTAAACACAGAAAACAGTGGTTTGTATGAAATGGTGGTTTACCCTACACTATCTACAATATGATACGCCAGGAACAGTATAAATACACATGCTAATACAAACCACAATTACAGCAGGAAACGGGAGAGAGAATCCATCAGCAGAGCCTTCCAATAATAATAATAATAATAATAATAATAATAATAATAATAATAATAATAAAGTTGGAAGGGACCTTGGAGGTCATCTAGTCCAACTCCCTGCTCAGGCAGGAAACCCTATACCAGGGGTAGGCAACCTCGGCTCTTTTATGACTCATGGATTTCAACTCCCAGAATTCCTGAGTCAGCATAGCTTCTGGAGCCTGGCACTGATCCTGGGGCTTCCGCTGAGCCCTGACAGCCCTGCAGCTCCAGCCGTCTCTCGCTCAGGCTTGTGCGGTGCTGCCACCGGTTCAGCTCATTCCCCTCCCCCGCTACCACTGTTCTAGGATGTTCGCATACCACCTGCCAGGTGCCAATGTGCCACAGGTGGTACCCGTACCACTGGTTGAAAAGCCCTGGTGTAAAGGAAGCGGGCGCTGGTTGCATACACACAACCTTGCAAAGGGTGTTTCCCATCCCTTCACACGTCCCCTTCACGCAACGCGTGAAACAGATTCCAGATGGGGGTAAACCAGGGGTGTCTAACCTCGGCCACTTTAAGCCCCATGGACTTCAACTCCCAGAATTCCCCAGCCAGCCATGCAAGCTGGGGAATTCTGGGAGTTGAAGTCCATGGGGCTTAAAGTGGCCAAGGTTGGATGCCCTACGGATAAACCAAATCATAGGTAGAATTTGAACTCCGTGCACAGAAAAAAACCCCGGACCCATTTATAACCAGCCTACCCTTTCAAACAGGATCAAAGGGGTGAAGAAGCGGAGAAAAAAGGGGGGGGAGCCAGGCCTGGGGCTTTTGAGGGAGTTGTGCTGGGTGTGCAAATTTGGCTTAAACCGCTTCCCTGCCACACTCTGAAACACACACTCGAGAGAGACACAACAAGCATCAGCAACCATTCTCGAAAGGAAGGGGAGAAAAAGGCCTACCCTCCATTTTTGGTTGGACCTAACATGCCACACAACACACACACACACGCACGTGTGCACAAGCCAAGCCTCTGAATTTTGATCACACGACCACGGGGGGGGGGGGGGATGCCGCAAAGGTTGTTACCTGTGAAAAATGGTCATTCAATCACTTTATTCAGTGAGTTTGAATGGTCACTAAATGAACTGTTGTTAAGTTGAGAACCATTTGTCTATTTGATGGGCACTAAGTTGTCAGTCCCTGGCCAACAAAGTGACATTTCATTCCGGGACTCAACAAAATCCAGTTAAGAGCAGACGCCCACCAAAGCCGCAATTGAGTTTGAACTGAGTGGGCCAGTACCCTAAAACTAAGCCCAATGGAACACACACTGTCAAGGTATTGATTTAACAGCTAACCAGCTTATGTAACGTAAGATGTAATGATGAGAATGGCTCAGCAGGGTCTGTCTCTTTACGAGCCAGCAGGGTCTGTGTCTCTTTAAGAACCTTTAAGAGCCAGCAGGGTCTGTGTCCCTTTAAGAGCCAGCAGGGTCTGTGTCCCTTTAAGAGCCAGCAGGGCTTTATTGACTGTGATGCTAAGGAGGTTATATTGATGTTAAATTTGATTACAGCCGCTAGGTTGTTAATAGGACAATATTGGAAGAAGGAATCTTTGCCTACTTTACAAGAATGGTTTCATAAAGTTTCGTATTTGGCAGAAATGGCAAAGATTTCGGCTTTCTTAAAGGAGCAATCTCAAGAAAAATTTTTTGCGGTATGGGAAAAATGGATAAATTTTATACAACATAATTTGGATATGGAAAAATATTATTTAGCCTTTTTATAATTTGTAATGATTGTTTTTTCTTTCTTTCTTTCTTCTTTTTCTTTTTTATATATATACATTTTTTACGTATTATTATTCATATATATTTTTTTTTATATATATATATGCTTTATTCTTCGTCTACTTTCTTCTTTCTTCTTTCTCTCTCTCTCTTCTCTTTTTATTTATTTTTTTTTCTTTTTTAGTATATATTATTCATTTTAAAGTTTATGTTATGTATATTATTATTATATATATTATTACTGTGATTTTTATTATTATTATTAATTATTTTATAAATTGCAAATGTTATTTTTAAAATATTTGTTAAATAATCCTATATTCAGTTCTGGGAAGTCGGGGGGGGGGGTGGGGTGGTTGGGGAGGGGGGGGGTGGATTTTTATTTGTAAAACTTTTGAAAAATTTCAATTAAAAAAAAAAAAAAAAGAGCCAGCAGGGCTGTGTCCCTTTAAGAGCCAGCAGGGTCTGTGCCCCTTTAAAAGCCAGCAGGGTCTTTAAGAGCCAGCAGGGTCTGTGCCTCTTTAAGAGTCTTTGTATAAAAGGAAGACTCTGCTGCTCTCTTCTCTTTCCTGCTGTAACTGCTCTGTGTTGGACCCTGCTGTATTAGCACATGTATGTATATTGTTCCTGGTGTATGATATTGTAAATAGTGTAAGATAAACCAACATTTACTATAGACCACTGTTTACTGTTTTTACTCCTGGGTTATCTCGCGCAATAAGACTGTGCTCTCTCTCTCTCTCTCTCTCTCTCTCTCTCTCTCTCTCACACACACACACACACACACACACGTACACCCCCAAAACGCACACTTCCCGGACTGCATCCTGAAGTAACAAGCAAAGTTCATGGTTCAGAGTTATGATGGTTACAGTACAAGTTGGGAAAGACTCGTGTGTTGGGGGGAGGAGGCGGCCCATCGGATTAGTGTCCAGGCCAAAAAAAGGGGAGGGCAAACTTTTTCCAGCGTGGATCAAGGGCAGGGCACAACTGAAACCTTAAAAGTGAAAAACGCTCCCCCTCCCACAAACACACAACTCACAAAAAGGCACCAGAGATGTGAGCAAGCTGAAGAGATGCAAAAACGGTCTGAGCAGGGGGGGGGGCATCTTTACAAAGAGGAAGGCAATCAATCATGCTGAAGATGAAGGCTCAATACAGGCAGGCCTCAACTTACAACGGTTCATTTACTGACCGTTCAAAGCTACGACAGCACTGGAAAAACAAGTGGCTCATGACCCCTGACTCACATTTATGACAGTTTTGCAGAGTCCCTGGGGGGGGGGGTCACGTGATCCCTTTTGCAACCTTTGGACAAGCGAAGTCCACACGGAAGCTGGATTCGCGTTAACAACCGGGCGACTAACAAATGCAATGATTCACTTAACGATAACTTGGTAAAATGGGGCCAAAACTCACTTTAACTAATGTTCCACTTGGCAACGTAAATTCTGGGCTCAATTTTCATCGTAATTCGAGGACTACCTGTACATTGTTTCTTTAAAAAAAATTCTATTTAATTTTTTTTACCACCACCAGAGATGCAGGATGCCAGCCCCCCCCCCCACTAGCTTCTTCTAAACGGGGGGGGGGAATCTACCCATTTGCTGAACCCCGACTCAGATGTCCAATCCCCAACAGCGCTTTAACCTTACTGGAGAACGTGGGAGATCTCTGACCCCCACGTGCCCCTTCCACGTGACACCCGCCAAGAGGTTGGCCCTACCCAATAACCTGTCCCAGTTCCTTGTTCGGGTTCTGCCGCCCTACAGGAAATGCAGCAGTGCCCTCAGTTAGGTTGGCTCTTGGCGTGCCACTTGAAGGCACCTGCTCAACAGGTTGAGCTGGACACACCTGGAAGAGCCACGGGTGAGCGATGGCGGGGCGCCCATACCGAAAGCAAGGTCACCAGGGAGGCTGATGAACTTGGACACTCCTCCATTCAGATTAGAACAGAACAGAGCTGGAAGGGACCTTGGAGGTCTTCTAGTCCAGCCCCCTGCTCAAGCAGGAGAACGTACACCATCTCAGACGAGTGACTACATAGCTAGCCTCTTCTTAAAAATCTCCAGTGATGGACTGCCCACGATTTCTGGTGGTAAGTGGTTCCACTGGTTAATTGTCCTCACCGTCAGGAAGTTTCTCCTTAGTTCTAGGCTGCTTCTCTCTTTGATCGTCTCGGTCCAACACAACGTGGACCTCAAGAAAGTAGACACCAAGGTGGGGGGGAACATCCCGAAAGTTGAACCATTTTCTTGCACCTGAGAGAGAAGACGGACCCTGGAACGGTCTACCTGCAGGGGGGGGGGGAAACGCAACAGGTATATTTGCAACCCAGCAGATCAGCAGGAAGCCACCATCTTCTCACCCAGAGCTCCATCGGTGGTAGCTGCTTCTTCTCGAGGGGGGAACGGAAACGGGCTGGCCAGCGAGCCAGCACACAACCCTTTTTTACTCTTCACAAAGCACACAACCCTTTTTTACTCTTCACAAATAGGAGATGTTGCATGCTCACCACAGGTCAAAGATACCTCTGCAGCAGAGGTCACCAACCTTTTCATGCTGGCGACACACACACACACACACACACACACACACACACACACACAGAGCCCTCTATACATTATTCTTCCCCCCAGCCCCAATTATCACAAAATTCAACCAAGGAGGGTTAAAAGAAGAGTTTCTGTTTAATCAGCGGTCAAGGCTTTGGCGAAAGGATTTCCCCCCCCCCCAAAAAAAAAGAGAGAGAGGAAAGTTTAAAAGAAGGGAAGTTTACATGTAAGGGGGGGGGGAGAGAATATTTTGTCCATAGTGGAGAAGGACCAGACCAGACTCCCCCACCCACCCTACATCGTCTTAATATGGGAAAAGAATTAAATTCTATTTGGGGAACAGGAAAATAGAGGTTTAATTCTGGGGGGGTTAGGTTAAAGTTCAGAGTTGGGTCCGCCATGATGCGCAAAATAAAAATAAAAAAAGGATCAATCACCCAGCTGAATCCTGGGGGGGGGCACCAAGGGGGGGGGCAGGAAGCAGGGATAGAAGCGGTACGATCAGCAGTAAATCCTAGCAAAATGAAAGCGGAAAAAATAATCTCGGGAGCCGTTTTTCAGGCGCAAATAAGGACAAAAATTTAAAACAGCGGCAGACCCTTCCCCACTTGAGAGATCAAGGCAACCCCCCCCCCCGAAAGAGCTTCATGGGATCCAAATGTGTAAATCTCCCCCCCCTGTACTCCCCCCACCACCTCTGTAGGGCCCAGCCACATCTGGGGATTGTCTGTGAAAGCCTGATGTGGGGTTCAAAAGCCCTTGCTTGTCCTTTGGTCTTATTTTGGGGGTGGGGGGGAAGCAGCTTCCAATCCAAGACCCCCTCCTCAGACCTGGCTGCAGCTGTGGACGCCCCCAAGCCCACCCACCCAACAACCCTGCCTGCTCCACCGTACAAAAACATTAACCAATGGCGCGAATCACGCAAACTTCGCCATTCGAGGGGGGGGGGGAAGCAGGTCAGAGACCTCAGAAGACCCCCTCAATATGTGTGTGTGTGTGTGGTGTCCAGATTTAGCACCAGGGTGAGAAAGCAGCCTTGGGGGGGAGGGAAGTGAGGGGGAGACACACACCCCCAGGAGGAGGGGGGGAGGGAAGCTGGTTCAGTTTTAACTTTTATAAATTAATTTCCGTTACCAGTTGCCACGTGCATGGGGGGGGGGGGAAAGAATCCACGGGTTCACACATGCAGTGCGCACTTGTTAGCAGAAAAGAATTGCCAGCCGCTTTTCGAAGGAGGGAAAACTCAGAAGAGATCCAGGTGTGTTTTTTTTTGGCCTGATCCGGGGGGGGGGGGAAAGGAGGGGGGGAATCCCACGTGAAAAGGATGGAAGGAGAGTCCGCTGAGCCGCACAAACACGCACTCGCACCCTGACCCTGGATACCGTCTTAAAACAAGGCTCCCTCGCTCGCCCCCACCAACCACGGTCAAGGGTTTCGAAGGTTTTGCAAGAACATCACCCCACCCCAAAGGGGAACCCAGTCTTTGGGCGAATGTCTGAATTCTACTCCCCCTCCCCCTCAGGGTGGTGGTGGGGAGTCGTAAGGATTCAAAATTCCTCCCCCCCCCAGTGAACAAAAAGCAGGGTGCGGAAGCGTTTCCTCCAGGTTAGGGGGGTTACCGACAATTGCAAAGCCCCCCTCCCCCAAAAAAACCACAATGACAAAAACCTGACACGCTTCTGCTGGCGATGCTCAAGAGCTACGGGACAAGCTAAGTCTCTACCCATATCTGGTCTTTCTTTCTTTCTTTCTTTCTTTTTGTTTTTTTAAAGAGGAAGAAGGGGAAAAAAAGAAAAGAGAATAAAAACGAAATGGGGAAGGAAGGAAAAAAGGGAAAAAAATCTGGCAAAGATCCGGAGGCTTAGAAGTGGGGTTTAAATAAACCAGGCAGGAGTCTCTGCCAAGTAGGTGTTGTCTTAGGTGGGTGTGCATCGGTACACACACACACACAAAGAAGGGAGGATCCTGCGGTTCGGATTCAGGCGGCCGGAGCTGACCGGCGACGCCCCCCCCTTGGGGACAGCCCCCAGGGCTGGCCAAGGGTCCAGCGGACACCGTCCGGCTGATGCTCAGGTGCTGGGGGGGTCCAGGCCTTCAGCGTAAGTGATTATCCGTTTTGGGTCTGGAAAAGGAAGAAGAGGGTCCGAGTCAACCGGACGGCCAGTGTGGCATTCGCGCACGCCCCCATCACACCAAGAGTCCGCTCCCTTAAGTCAGGGGTCGCCAAACTTGGCCTCTTTGAGGACTTCAAGTCCCAGAATTCCCCAGCCAGCTTTAAGCTTATGGCCTTCAACTCCCAGAATTCCACCACCACAAGGCCTGTGGCCTTCAACTCCCAGAATTCCTCAGCCTTAAGGCCTGTGGCCTTCAACTCCCAGAATTCCCCCACCTTAAGGCTTATGGACTTCAACTCCCAGAATTCCACCATCACAAGGCCTGTGGCCTTCAACTCCCAAAATTCCTCCGCCTTAAGGCCTGTGGCCTTCAAATCCCAGAATTCCTCAGCCTTAGGTCCTGTGGTCTTCAATTCCCAGAATTCCCTGCCTTAAGGCCTGTGGCCTTCAACTCCCAGAATTCCACCTTAAGGCCTGTGGCCTTCAACTCCCAGAATTCCTTAGCCTTAAGGCTTATGGACTTCAAGTCCCAGAATTCCACCACCACAAGGCCTGTGGCCTTCAACTCCCAGAATTCCTCAGCCTTAGGTCCTGTGGCCTTCAATTCCCAGAATTCCCCCATCTTAAGGCCTGTGGCCTTCAACTCCCAGAATTCCTCAACCTTAGGTCCTGTGGCCTTCAATTCCCAGAATTCCTCAGCCTTAGGTCCTGTGGCCTTCAACTCCCAGAATTCCCCCATCTTAAGGCCTGTGGCCTTCAACTCCCAGAATTCCTCAGCCTTAGGTCCTGTGGCCTTCAACTCCCAGAATTCCCCCGTCTTAAGGCCTGTGGCCTTCAACTCCCAGAATTCCTCCGCCTTAAGGCCTGTTGCCTTCAACTCCCAGAATTCCTCCGCCTTAAGACCTGTTGCCTTCAACTCCCAGAATTCCTCCGCCTTAAGGCCTGTTGCCTTCAACTCCCAGAATTCCTCCGCCTTAAGGCCTGTGGCCTTCAACTCCCAGAATTCCTTTAAGGCAACTCCCAGAATTCCTCCGCCTTAAGGCCTGTGGCCTTCAACTCCCAGAATTCCTCAGCCTTAAGGCCTGTGGCCTTCAACTCCCAGAACTCCCCAGCCAGCCAGGGGTTCGCCCCAAATCTCCCACTGCCCCCCCCCACAATAACCATGCGCTCCCCCCCTTGGGGGAGGACGGAAGGAGGGAGACCCACAGAAGCCCTTACCTCGCTTTTGCAAATTACAAATAGATTCCATTTCTGCAAGAAAGAGAGAAAAACGGTGGTTAATGCTTTGGAACGGGAAGGCAGTCCTCACTCAAGCACGGGAACCGGGAGGGGATTTCCCGTCACTAAGGAAGGCGGTCATACTAGATGTCCTATATGACCCCATTGTTAGCCACAGCAGCCTGAAAGCTCACCAAGGGAGCCCAACGTGGCCACAGCCAAGCAAGACAGTTGTTGTGAGTTTGGCCCCGTTTTACGACCGTTTTTGCCACAGCTGTTAAGGCAGGGGTCTTCCAACGTGGCTCTTTGATGACTTGTGGACTTCAACTCCCAGAATTCCTCAGCCAGGATGCTTTAAGACAGGGGTCTTCCAACGTGGCCCTTTGATGACTTGTAGACTTCAACTCCCAGAATCCCTCAGCCAGCAACACTGACTGAGGAATCCTGGGAGTTGAAGTCCACAGGTCTTAAAACATGCGTCTCCCATCTTGGCCCTTTGATGACTTGTGGACTTCAACTCCCAGAATCCCTCAGTCAGCAACACTGACTGAGGAATTCTGGGAGTTGAAGTCCACAAGTCATAACAGTGCCAAGTTTGAAGAGCCGTGTTAAAGGAATCCCTGCACTTGGTTCAGTTAGTGACCCGGTTGTTAAGTGGCTTCCCCGTTGACTTTGCTTGTTAGAAAGTCACGCCAGGGGGGGTGGATCCTGTGAATCCAGGACGCTGCAACCGTCGTAAACCATCGCTGCAAGCGTCTGAATTCGGATCACACAACCAAACAATCGTAAGGTAGAAACGGTCACGAGTGGCTTTTTTCCCATTCCATTGTAACTTCAAGCAAATGAATGGCTGTAAAGTCAAGGACTTAGCTGTATTCCTGTTGTTAAGTGAGGATTGGGAGTTTTTACCCAAGGCCCAGTCAGCTAGCAAGCCAGGCAGGCAGGCAAGGTCTGCAGGGTGGGGTGAGGTTGGGGTGGCAGGGCCAGGAGTGGCTGCTGTCCCGCGTGGGAGTGCAAAATTGAGTTGTGAGCAAGTGGCAAACTGCGTATTACGTGACTTCTTGACGCTGCGAACGTTGCTAACAGGACGACAGAGCCGGGAGGGACGTTGGAGGTCTTCTACACACACACACACCCCGCTGAAGCAGGAAATGCTAGTCAGGGATGCCCAACCTTGGCAGCTTTTAAGAATTTGTGGACTTCCACTCCCAGAATTCCCCAGCCACACACCCCACACGCCCAGTTGGTAAGACTGCCCAGGTTATGCCAGATCGCTGTTGTTGTTAAGCAAATTCAGCTTTCCCCATTGACTTTGCTGGCTGGGAAGGTGATCCCAGCGCACTGTAACCATGCTAAATACACCCTACTTGCCAAATGGCCCAAATTTTGATCACAGGATTGGGGGAGCGCGGCGACCGTTCTGAGTGTTGGAGTCCGGTCAAAAGTCACTTGTCCCAGTGGGGTTGTTAACTTTGAGCCAGCTGGCTGCTGTCTGCAGTTGGATGGGCTGCCCTTGGAGACTAGTGTTCTGATCTACCAAAGCAGGGGGGTGGACTATGGCCCCTTTATGACCGGTGGGCTACAACTCCCAAAATTCTTCAGCCAGCATGGGTGAGGGCCATCCTGGCCAGGCTCCGGCCATTGGTCAACCAGCCAGGCGGTGTCCCATTCCTCCATCAATAGATCCATTCCCAAGGCCAAGCTGACCCCCTTGGAAAAGGCCGCATCAAGCAGGTCAGAGGAGACCCAAGGGAAACCCCCACACCAGGGAGCAGTCAGTCCACCCAACGGCCCAGGTGTGCTGAACTACCAATCAAGCACAGAGGGCACACAAGGGGACAGAACAAAAGCACCAGGCGCTGCAGTTTAGTCCAGCCATTAAGGCACCAGGCTAGAAACTTGGAGCCTGGGAGTTCTAGTCCCGCTTTAGCTGTGAAAGCAGCTGGGTGACTTTGGGCCAATCACCGGGAGATGGGGAGTTCTAGTCCCGTTCTAGACAGGAAAGCTGGCTGGATGACTTTAGACCAATCATCAGGAGCCTGGGAGTTCTAGTCCCGCCTTAGCCCTGAAAGCAGCTGGGTGACTTTGGGCCAATCACCGGGAGACGGGGAGTTCTAGTCCCGCCCTAAGCATCAAAGCTGGCTGGGTGACTTTGGCCAATCACTGGGAGACGGGGAGTTCTAGTCCCACCCTAGGCATCAAAGCCAGCTGGGTAACTTTGGGCCAATCACCGGGAGACGGGGAGTTCTAGTCCCGCCTGAGGCATGACAACCAGCTGGGTGACTTTGGCCTAATCCGTCTGTGTCCGCCAACCCACCTTACAAAGGTTGTCGTTGTGTGGGAAAGAGGAAGAGGAAGGAGAACTCACTTTGACTTATTCATAAAACTCATAAAGAAATAAAATAAAAAAACCCACCGTAGGAACACAAGTCCTGCAGGAGCCGGAACCTGGAGAGCAGAAAGAGGACACCCCCCCCCTCGGTAGGTAGGAACTGGAGGGCTTCTCGGCCAAAGGGACCGCCACCTGCAGTTGCACCCGCCAGAAAAGGCCAGCCTTCCACAAAAAGACCCCACCACCCATTTTATAGGCCCCATCCCCATCAAGGACTTCAGCAGGCCTTCTGCTGGCTGAAGAAGACCAGGGGGAGGGTCTGCCCTTGGCCAAGACCCCCAGGGCTCAGCTCACTCTCCACCTCACGGGGGCCAGTCAGAAAAACGGGACGTGGTTCAACCTGACCCTCTTTCCCAGGCTCACAATCCCTCGCTGGCGGCAGAACACACCCTTTCCCTGCAACACGCAATGCACATTTGCGTTGACCGCCCAACCCAGTTGTTATAAAGGGCCCAGAATCCCCCCCACTAAGCAAAGGGGGGCTGTCAAGTGAGGTCTGCTGGATTCTACAATCTTCTGGCCACGATCGTTGATCAAATTGCTGCGGTTGTTAAGCAAATTCAGCTTTCCCCATTGACTTTGCTGGCTAGGAAGGTGATCCCAGCGCACTGTAACCATGCTAAATACACCCTACTTGCCAAATAGCCCAAATTTTGATCGCAGGATTGGGGGAACGCGGCGACCGTTCTGAGTGTTGGAGACCAGTCAAAAGTCACTTTTCCCCAGTGTGGTTGTTAACTTCAGTCACTAAGTGAAGGACGGAAGGGTCAAGGACCATCTGTATGTATGTACTGATCCTATTCTTCCCACTGGCTGCTTTGATAATGAACAATTTCCAAAGTCCACCCCTCAAATATCCCCACACTCGGGGTCCCCACCCAGCAAGAGAGGGGCTGAGAGTCCAATCCACCTTTGAAGGACCTCTCCCATTTCTGTGCCTTCCTCCGGAAAGACTCAACCCAAGGGAGGGCTGCAGCCCCTAATACAGTGGTTCTCAACCTTTTTAATGCCGCGACCCCCAACCGATCGTAAGTCGAGGACTACACAACCGGTCGTAAGTCGAGGACTACTCAACTGGTGCAGCGCCGTTTGCCGAATGGGACTTTTGGCGGGCTCAGCAGGGCAGAGACAGCCTGCACAATTCCTATTGGCTTTTGAAAGCCAATAGAATTAGACTCTATTCAAGAGAGTCTATTCTATTGGCTTTCAAAAGCCAATAGAATAAAAGGGAGTAGCACAGCTAAGGAAAAGGGGGAAAAAAATGGCGGACTGTGTTGTTTGGCGACCCCCGTGAAATGGTCGTTCGACCCCAAATGGGGTCCCCACCCTCAGGTTGAGAACCACTGCCCTAATAGAATCAGCACTGCCCCCGGTAAAAGGGGAATTGGGGATTTAAAAAGGATTACAATTTGAGAGGGGTGGAGAAATAGACAGTAGTCCTCAACTTACAATCGTTCCTTTAGTGACCGTTCAAAGTTACGACAACACTGAAAAATGTGAGTTAGGACCGTTTTTCACACTTCCGACCGTTGCACCCTCCCTAGGGATACGTCATCAAAATTCACACGCTTGGCAACCGACTCTCACTTACGACGGTTGCGGTGCCCCAGGGTCACGTGATCAAAATTGGGACATTTGGCAACCCTGGCTCGTATTTATGACGGCCGCGGCATTCTGGGGAGGGTCACGCGATCCCCTTTTGCAACCTCCTGACAAACAAGATCCGCGTAACAACCGTGTGACTAACTTAACAGACACAATGATTCACTTAACGCCGACTGTGGCAAGAACATTTGCAAAATGGGGCAAAACTCATTTAACAGCCCTCTCGCTTAGCAACTGAAATTCCGGGCTCCATTGTGGTCTTAAAGTGAGGATTAGCTGTCTGACTGGGCCCCTCTCCATGTCCTGGACCCCAGGGAGGCCAAATACCAGCACTGGGGGAGGCAGGGCCCAAACACCTCCTACAACCCTAAGCTGGACGGCAGCTCTCTAGAATGGCTGGGGCTGATGGGGACGGGAGTCCCTCCCAGCGGGGAGGGTGGAAGGAAGCCGGGACCGTTACCTTGGATGTGATACAGAACAGCTGCCTGCAGGTCAAACTCCCCCCAGCTGGCTTTCCTTTCTAGACTGCTGGGGGGGCTCGGCTCTTTGGTGGAGGCTAACAAAGTGTTCGTAGGCGAAGGCAAGCAACTTTCCACGTGGTAGTCCTTGGCGAGGAACACAAAGGCCCCCGCCCCCCCCAGCTCAGCCTGGGGCAGGCCCCCCGGCAGGTGGGGCTCCAGCAGCAGCTGGCTCTCCTCCCCAGCGGCCCCCAGCTTTAAGAGGCCGCCCAACAGCTGGGGACTAGTCCGTCTGGCCAGCTCGTAGGCCTTGGGGAAGGCCGGCGGTTCGGGTCCGGCGGGAGGCGTCTCGGCCCCGCGAGGAACCAACGTGGCAGGGCAGGAGCCCTGGAAGGTCACCTCGGCCCCCTTGGTGTCCGTTGGCTTCCTGGCCGAAGAAGTCTCTGGGCCCGCGCTGGGCTCGTTTATAAACGATAACCCCCACTGGTTCTGGAAGATATCGCCCAAGTTTTGCTGCGTGGCCAGGAAGGGGGACTCGGCCACGCTGAACAGGCCGTGCATATTGGAGGGGTAGACGAAAAGACTGGACTTGGGCTGCTCGCTGGCGACGGCTGAGGGAGCGGCGTCCTGGCAGGCCAGCTTGGAAGAGGCCGAAAGGACAGTACTAGTAGCTGGCACCAGTAGGGTCTGGACCCCGGCCGGACACCCCCCGCGGTCCGCCCCTGCCAACAGGGGCCCGTTGGAGAAGCTGGCTGATGTAACCGACTTCATGGCGGACATGGGGACCTGGGGGAGGCGGATGGAGGGCTGGGCTGGGACCTCCCCTGCGGAAGAGGAACACAGGGAGGAGGAGGAGGAAGAAGAGGAGGAAGAGGAGGAGGAGAGGGAAGGAGCCGCCTTGTTGAGGTTCTCTTTCACTTTGCTCGCGTAACTGATTTTGGGAACGATCTTGGCGCTGCTGTTGTCCACGGGGAAAACCGGGGGCGGCTTAAAGAGGGTCCAGGAATCGTCCTTCGAGGAGGACACCGAGACGTGCTTCCCCTTGGCACGCTCCTCAAACTTCTTGCCGGCCGGTCCGACTTTGGCCTCCGCGGCCTTCCGAAGCATGTCCCCGACGCCGACTGGCTTCCCGCGGCCCACCCCCGGGGGCTGCTCGCACTTCCACGCGGGCTTCAGGCCGTCCAGCCGAGGAAGGCCGGCCTTCGGGTCTCCGCCGCCGTCGGCCCTGCAGGGCTCCGGCTCCAGCTTCGAGGCCAGGACCGGGCTGCCCGGCACGCTCTTCTCCTGCCCCAGACTCAAGTTCTCGCAGCCCTTGACGCTGTTGCGCCGTCCTTTCCGCTTCTTGGGCGTGGTGTAGCCGTTCTCGGAGCCGCTGCCGTCGTTGTCGGCCCCTTTGCCAGCGCAGCCGTTGGTAATGTACTCAGAGCCGTCGGCCAGCATGCCGTTGGGGATGTTGGGGTGCATCTCGGCTTTGTCCCAGGGGTGACCCTCTCGACCGGCGCTCTGGTTGCATCGCTCGTTCTTCCTGTCCAGGCTGCTCTTCAGGGTGAAGGTCTTGGTCTTCAGGCCAGCTTTCACGAACGTCCCACCTTTCGCCGTCTGCTTGAGAGACAGGCTGAGCTCTCTGCCGGGCTGGCTGCCGTTGGGGACCACGGAAACGGGGGCCGGCACGTCGCTGGCACCGGGAGATGTCAGGAAGGAGTCTCGGTCGCCGACGGTCCCGTTGACCTCGCCATACTCTGCAGAAAGGGAAAAGGGGATTAGAGAGACCTGCAAGCTCAAAGGAGGCCTTGGCAAGACCCCAAGACACGCCGCAAAGGCTTAAGGCAGGGATCTTCCTTATGGACTTCAACTCCCAGAATTTCCCAGCCGAGCATGCTGGCTGAGGCATTCTGGGAGTTGAAGCCCACAAGCACGGGTCTTCCAACGTGGCCCTTTGATGACTTGTGGACTGTAACTCCCAGAATTCCTCAGCCAGCTTATTTCAGGGGTCTTCCAATTTGGCCCTTTGATGACTTGTGGACTGTAACTCCCAGAATTCCTCAGCCAGGCATGCTGGCTGAGGAATTCTGGGAGTTTGAAGTCCATAAGTCATCAAAGGGCCAAGTTGGAAGACCCGTCTTAAAGCATGCTGGCTGAGGAATTCTGGGAGTTGAAGTCCACAAGCACGGGTCTTCCAACTTGGCCCTTTGATGACTTGTGGATTTCAACTCCCAGAATTCCTCAGCGAGGCATGCTGGCTGAGGAATTCTGGGAGTTGAAGTCCACAAGCAGAGTCTTCTAACTTGGCCCTTTGATGACTTGTAGACTTCAACTCCCAGAATTCCTCAGCCAGCTTATTTCAGGGGTCTTCCAACTTGGGCCCTTTGATGACTTGTGGACTTCAACTCCCAGAATTTCCCAGCCAGGCATGCTGGCTGAGGAATTCTGGGAGTTTGAAGTCCACAAGTCATCAAAGGTGCAAGTTGGAAGACCCGTCTTAAAGCATGCTGGCTGAGGAATTCTGGGAATTGAAGTCCACAAGTCATAAAAGTCATTAAAGGGCCAAGTTGGAAGACCGCTGTCTTAAACCCTCCTGGCTGAGCAATTCTGGGAGTTGAAGTCCACAAGTCATCAAAGGTGCAAGTTGGAAGACCCGTCTTAAAGCATGCTGGCTGAGGAATTCTGGGAATTGAAGTCCACAAGCACGGGTCTTCCAACTTGGCCCTTTGATGACTTGTGGATTTCAACTCCCAGAATTCCTCAGCCAGGCATGCTGGCTGAGGAATTCTGGGAGTTTGAAGTCCACAAGTCATAAAAGTCATCAAAGGGCCAAGTTGGAAGACCCGTCTTAAAGCATCCTGGCTGAGGAATTCTGGGAGTTGAAGTCCACAAGTCATCAAAGGGCCAAGTTGGAAGACCCTTGCCTTAAGGCCCTGGACACCCCAAACTGCCAATGCAGGCTTGCTAAGAAAGCATTTTCCCCCGTGTACAAGCCTACTCTATTGCTTTTGCGGTGGCATCGCTCAAATTTGGCCCACGCTGCATCCAGGACAGGGTGAGGAGAAGGAAGCGCTCCTGACAGAGACAGGAAGGTACAAATGGATTCTGGAGGATGCAGATAATAAACTTCTGCCCTAGCTAGAGCACATTTCAAATCCAAAATAAATCTGGGCACCCAACAGTGTCCAGGAACCGGGACTCCTTAGATTCGCAGAGAGGGATGCTGCAAGAAACGAAGGAGAAATATGATGCCGATGATGACAGCTATGGGAGAGCACGGAAAGGACTGTCTGTTTCTGGGAGCTGTCTGTAGGTAATCCTCAAGTTACAACCGTTCGTTTAGTGGCCGTTTGAAGTTAGAACGGCCCTGGAAAAAAGCGACTTGTGGCACTTTCACGCTTACAACCATCGCTGCATTCCCAGGATCACGTGATCAAAATTCGGCTCGTATTTATGACAGTTGTGGCTTTTTCCAACCTTCTAACAAGCAAAATCATCGAATCTGCAGATGACACCAAGCTGGCAGGAATAGCCAACACTCCAGAAGACAGGCTTAGGATACAGGAGGATCTGGACACACTTGAACACTGGGCGCTATCTAACAATATGAAATTAAAAGGTGAAAAAAGTAAGGTTCTACATTTAGGCAAGAAAAACCAAATGTACAGGTATAGTATAGGGGGTACCTTGCTCAATAGTGGTAACTGTGAGAGGGATCTCGGAGTCCTAGTGGACAATCATTTAAATATGAGCCAGACGTATGCTGCAGCTGCCAAAAAGGCCAACACAGTGCTAGGCTGCATTAACAGAGGGATAGAATCAAGATCATGTGAAATTAATACCACTTTACAAGGCCTTGATAAGGCCACACTTGGAATACGGCATCCAGTTTTGGTCACCACGATGTAAAAAAAATGCTGAGACTCTAGAAAGAGTACAGAGAAGAGCAACAAAAATGATCAGGGGACTGGAGGCTAAAACATATAAGGAACGGTTGCTGGAATTGGGTATGTCTAGTTTAATGAAGAGAAGGACGAGGGGGGACAGGATAGCAGTGTTCCAATATCTCAGGGGCTGCCCCAAAGAAGAGTCAGTCAAGCTGTTCTCCAAAGCGCCTGAAGGCCGTCAAGAAGCAACAGATGGAAACTGATCAAGGAGAGAAGCAACCTGGAACTAAGGAGAAACTTCTGACAGCAAGAACAATTAACCAGTGGAACCACCTGCCTCCAGAAGCGGTGAATGCTCCAACACTGGAAGTTTTTAAGAAGAGACTGGACAACCCATTTGTCTGAAATGGTATAGAGTTTCCTGCCTGAGCAGGGGGCTGGACTAGAAGACCTCCAAGGCCCCTTCCAGCTCTGTTATTCTGTTCTGTTCTGCTTTAGAGGCATCTAAAGTGAACCTTGATGCTGAAAAACTGTCTGGGGGGGGGGGAATCAGCAACGGATCTGCACATTTTAAGAAGCTTTGGCCCAAAGTGGATCTTCTTTGACTGGTCCCCAAATTGCCTAGTGTGAGTTTCTGTAACTTTTGAAGATGGGCAGGAAAAAAACAAAACAAAAAACCTTGTTCTAAGTCAGTGGTTCTCATCCTTTTTAATACCATGACCCCCAACCGGTCGTTAAGTCGAGGACTACTCAACTGGCGCAGTACCGTTTGCAGAATGGGACTTTTGGCGGGCTCAGCAGGGCAGAGACAGCCTGGACAATTCCTATTGGCTTTTGAAAGCCAATAGAATTAGACTCTATTCAAGAGAGTCTATTCTATTGGCTTTCAAAAGCCAATAGAAGGGAGTAGCACAGCTAAGGAAAAGGGGGGGGGAAATGGCAGACTGCGTTGTTTGGCGACCCCCATGAAATGGTCGTTCGACCCCAAATGGGGTCCCGACCCACAGGTTGAGAACTACTGATCAAAACCATTAAGAACAATAACAAATAAAACAAAAATCAAAAAACTCATAAATGCTACGATGATGCGCTCTGGATCAACAATGACCTCACCTTCAAAATCAGCAGAATTTATTGGATCATCTCCCCCCTCCCCCAATAATTTTTGGAACTCTCTGCCCAGCTTGTTCCCTGGCGTCCTTCGTGATTGATTAGCTGTTTATTACTCCATGAGGACAAGTCACTTCCAGCCATAAAAATGTTCTCCCAAACGCAGTCCGTGCAAAATGTGACGTTTGTGTCGTGAGAATTTCATGTGGAAACAGGCCTTAACGTTGGAACTAACCTCCCTAAACTTAGGACAGGCTTTCTAATTATTTCCTTAATATTCTTCGTGCCCAGTGGGACATGGGTCTCTCCAGTCCAAAGATTTAGAGTTCCATTTATCCAAAATAATCCATGCAGCTGTGCAACATCTGCTCTGCAAAAGGAACAAGCTTTCCCAAATTTGCAGGAAAGACTCTTTTTTTGTTGTTGTTGTTGTTTGGGGAAAAAAATGCTAATTAAGACATTGGAGGAAAGGAGCTGTGTGAGTCCAAACTTGGGACCTGCTAGATCCATTTTCATCCCACAAAATGCCATTAAAGAAAGCTACGCGTTTTTAAATTTATAAAATAGAGTTCTCCAAAGCAACTTGAAGGCAGGACAAGAAGCAACGGATGGAAACTCATCAAGGAGAGAAGCAACCTAGAACTAAGGAGAAACTTCCTGACAGTTAGAAGAACAATTAACCAGTGGAACCACCTGCCTCCAGAAGCGGTGAATGCTCCATCGCTGGAGGTTTTTAAGAAGAGACTGGACAGCCATTTGTCTGAAATGGCATAGGGTTTCCTGCCTGAGCAGGGGGTTGGACTAGATGACCTCCAAGGTCCCTTCCTACATTATTATTATTAAATTACAACCATTTATTTAATGACTGTTTGAAGTTACAGTGGCATTGAAAAAAGGGACTTAGGACCATGCTAGCTCAGGAATTCTGGGAGTTGAAGTCCACGAGTCATGAAGGGGGCCATAGTTCCCCCATGCTGGCTCAGGAATTCTGGGAGTTGAAGTCCACGAGTCATAAAAGAGCCAAGGTTGCCTGTAGTGGGAAACAACTAAGCCCAAAGTGGCTGAAATGCAGGAAGCCACAAACATGCTGGACAAACCACAAGTGGGTTGGTTCACACAAACATGCACACACACACACAGACACACACACACAAAGAAAAATGGACAGGCCCCATTGCAACATTTAGTGCAGCATGTGAACCAGGTGGCACACTAGATTCCTTCAGGTGATCTTTGCAAGCTCTTTCAACACAACACGGGTGCCGAGTTCCCCATTTGTGGTCTCTCTGAGATTTAAGTGCCTGGGCTAACCGCACAAACAGGGAGCTGCCAATTCCTGACCAACAATTACAACACAACACAAAAGACAGGAGACTTTCAAGCTCTACCAGCTGGGTCCAAGCCACAGTTTTTCAAACTTCTAGAAGCCTTGGAAATTTTGATGGTAGGTCAAGGTCTACCTGGATCCGCCTGGTTATTTTTCCTCACAACGCCCCTGCAAGGTGGTTTGGTTGCCCCCAAGCTGGGTGCACGCAACGGGCTGAGTTCACAAGCTCTTGCCATGCATCGAACAGGCTCTACCTGCCCCCCACAGGTCACCTGGCTGCAATGGTTCATTCCCTCCCCCAATGGCAATTTAATGCAGGGCTCTCCAAACTTGGCCACTTTTTAAGACTTGTAGACTTCAACTCCCAGAATTCCCCAGCTAGCATGGCTAAATGGGGAATTCTGGAAGTTAAAAATCCACAATCCTTAAAAGTTCCCAAGTTTAGAGACCTCAACCTTAATGGACTGGACTCTTGGTAAGACAGCCGAGTGCACTGTGCTTGGGGCATCGCTGGGGAATTCTGGGAGTGGAAGTCCACCCCTCTTAAAGCATGGCTGGCTGGGGGATTCTGGGAGTGGAAGTCTACCCCCTGTAAAGCATGCAGGCTGGGGGATTCTGGGAGTGGAAGTCTACCCCTCTTAAATCATTCTGGCTGGGGGATTCTGGGAGTGGAAGTCCACCCCTCTTAAACCACGGCTGGCTGGGGAATTCTGGGAGTGGAAGTCCACCCCTTGTAAAGCATACAGGCTGGGGAATTCTGGAAGTGGAAGTCCACCCCTCTTAAAGCAGGCTGGCTGGGGAATTCTGGGAGTGGAAGCCCGCACCTCTTAAAGGTGCCAAATTTGTAAACAAATAAACAAAAAACCTGCTCTAAGCCTTGTCCAGGAACTTGGATCCATGGTGGGATTTTGGGGGGGGGGAAAGATCCATTCCATTCAACACAAAAGGGGTGGCAGACATAGACCTTAAGCCCCTTCCAGAGGAATGCAACTACAAGTCCCAGGTTCAGCGAATAGTCTGGACTACCCTGCTTAGCAGGAAGGACAATTGGTGTAAAAACATCTGGGAAGCCCGGAGGCTGGAGAAAGCCAGACTAATAAAAATGCCTGGTGCTGCAGCCACACATACACACCCCACACCCCCAGGCACACTCCGTGGGGCTCCCCTTCCCCGCTTCTACCTCCCACTGAAAGCTGAACCGCAGATTGTGGGCCTGCTGGACGGATTATGGGTCCGGCTGCGCGGTCTGAAAGGCCAGTAAGGGACTGGTCAGCTGGGAGAAGGCCCGTCCAGCGTTTCAGGCCCTGGGCAGTTTTAAGATGGGAGGATGGACTTCCACTCCCAGAATTCCCCAGCCAGCCTGCTTTAAGAGGGGCAGACTTCCACTCCCATAACCCCCCCAGCCAGCCATGCTTCAGGGAGTGGACTACAACTCCCAGAATCCCCCACCCAGCCTGCTTCAAGAGTGGACTCCAATTCCCAGAAGCCCCGCCCAGCCTGCTTCAAGAGTGGACTCCAACTCCCAGAAACCCCCAGCCAGCCATGCTTCAAGGAGTGGACTCCAATTCCCATAACCCCCAGCCAGCCATGCTTCAAGGAGTGGACTCCAACTCCCAGAATCCCCCACCCAGCCTGCTTCAAGAGTGGACTCCAACCCCCAGAATCCCCCAGCCAGCCATGCTTCAAGGAGTGGACTCCAATTCCCATAACCCCCAGCCAGCCATGCTTCAAGGAGTGGACTCCAACTCCCAGAATCCCCCAGCCAGCCATGCTTCAAGGAGTGGACTCCAACTCCCAGAATCCCCCACCCAGCCTGCTTCAAGAGTGGACTCCAACCCCCAGAATCCCCCAGCCAGCTTGCTTTAAGAGGGGCAGACTCCAACCCCCATAACCCCCCCAGCCAGCCATGCTCCAAGACAGGGCCGGAGTTCCCACCTTGCCGCGCGGGGCCTTCTGGGCCTTGTAGTCCACCCCTCCCGGAGCCCCCCCCCCTTCCAAGGCCGCCCCTCCCCCTCCTGGGAGCCCCCCAGCCGGCCTCCCCCTCCCCTCCGGGCCCTTCCCTCGGACTAGGCCTCCCTCCGCCGGGCCGCCCGGCAAGGCCCGGCCGGCTCGCCCAACCTGGCGGCGGCGGCGACGGCGTCGGGCAGGCCGCGCCGGGCTGAGGCGGGAAGGTCAGGCGAGGCCGGGGGGGGGGAGGTGGTCTGTCGCGGGAAGAGCGGCCCGGCTCCTTCCCTTCCCCCTCCCTTTCCCTTCTTCCCCCCCCTCCCCTCCCCCAGACCTGCTGCGTGTCCGGCTTCGGGCGGGGGGCCCGCGGTGGGGGGGCCCGGCTCGGGCGGGGGGCGCCCCTGGCCGTAGAAGAGCAGCGGCGGGGGGGGCGCCGCCATCGGGCACCGGCCGCCCTTCCGCTCGCTCGCCCGCCCGCCCGCCGCGGAAGGGAGGAGGAAGGGAGGGAGGCCGCCGCCGCTGCCGCCGCTTCCGGCCCCGCCCAGGCAGGCAGCGAGGGGGCTCTTCCGGCTCCGCCCCCTCCCGCGATGTCCGCCCGGCCCGACTCAAGGGCGCTGCCTCGCGCAGAGGCAAGCCCCGCCCACGGCACGCCCACGGCACGCCCCCCGCGGACGTGGACAGCAGGGAGGGAGGGAGGGAAGCTGGGAGACTTCTGAGCCTATGCTCCCCGCCGGGCCAGGCTGATGGGCGCGGCGGTCCTTCTGCTTCCAAGCCCTCCCGCCCTCCCGTCCCAGATTCCCACAGCAGGGGAAGGGGCTGATGGGCATGGTAGTCCTCCTGATTGGATGGGACGGGACTCCCATGCCCATCGTTCTCCACCAGGAAAGGGAGGGAAATGGATGGGCATGGCAGTCCATTTCCTTATTAGGGAGCTCCGGGTTTAAGGCCACTCCCCGCTTTCCAGGTTTGGATAGGACACCAGAGCCCATAGCTCCCCACTGGGAAGAAGAGGGAGAGGATGATGGGCACTGCAGTCCTATTTCAGGTATTGCAGCTCTGCGCCAGGAAGAAGAGGGAGAGGCTGATGGGCATGGCAGTCCTTCTACCGCCCCCCCCATCCCAGACTCCCAAGCCCATACTCCCCGCCAGGAAGGGGGCTGAGGGACATGGTAGTCCTTCAGTGGCACCAGGTCCAAGATCCCTCCCCCATTCTCCAGGATTGGATGGGACTCCCATACCCATCATTTTGCACCAGGAAGGGGAGGGAGGCTGATGGGCATGGCAGTCCTTCTACTTCACCCCCCCTCCCATCCCGGACTCCCAAGCCCATACTCCCCACCAGGAAGAGGGCTGAGGGACATGGTAGTCCTTCAGTGGCACGAGGTCCATGATCCCTCCCCCATTCTCCACGATGGGATGGGACTCCCATACCCATCACTCTCCACCAGGAAGAAGAGGGAGAGGCTGATGGGCATGGCAGTCCTCCTACTTCGGGGATGCTGGGTCTGAAGCCCCCTCCCCATTTTCCAGAGGGACTGTGGGACTCTTGCACCCATTTCTCCCCACGGGGAACAATAGAGGCTGATGGGCATCGCAGTCCATAAATTATGACATTATTTACATTCAGAAGGCCCCGCACTGCCTTTGAAAGGTGGCGTCATCACGCTATGCTGAAGCCATCACAGTTTGCAGGCAGTCCTTGACTTACAACAATAGGAACCAGCCTTTTCTTGCTAAGCCCAGCAGTTATTAAGTGAGTCATAACCTGATTTTACAACATTTGACTGCCAGGGGAATTCTGGGAGTTGGGGTGTCCATCCAACATTACAAAAAAGACGTTGAGACTTTGGAAAAAGTCCAGAGAAGAGCAGCTAAGATGATCAAAGGCCTGGAGACTAAAACATACGAAGAACGGCTGCGGGACTTGGGTCTGGCTAGTCTAAAGAAAAGAAGAAATAGAGGTGACATGATAGCAATGTTCCAGTATTTGGGGGGCTGCCACAAAGAAGAGGGGATCAAACTATTCTCCAAAGCACCAGAGGGCAGGACAAGAAACAATGGTTGGAAACTGATAAAAGAGAGAAGCAACCTGGAATTAAGGAGAAATTTCCTAATAGGGAGGACAATTAACCAGTGGAACTGCTTGCCTCCAGAAGTACATAATTAAGGGGAAAAGAGAGGAAATATTTACTGTAATAGTTTGAGATTTGTACTAATGATATTTGTACATAATTGAATTATGGTAACTCAGCCACCACGTTGCTTTTCAAAGACATAAATGGAATATTAGAAAATTAATTTAAAAATTCAAAAAAATAGATATACAGATAGCCCTTGACCACAGTCCAGCCCAAAACTTCCATTGCTGAGCCAGACAGTCATTAAGTGACTGCTCCATTTTACAACCTTTTTGCCAGAGTTGTTAAGTAAATCAGTGCGGTTGTTAAATTAGTTGCACAGTTATTAAGTGAAACTGGCTTCCCCAGAAGGTCGTAAAAGGAGAACATGGAGAACATGAGGATGCTGCGACTGTCATAAACACGAGTCAGTTCCCTAGCCTTTGAATTTTGAGATGCTACAACGGTCGTAAGTGTGAAAAACAGTTGTAAGTCACAATACTGAATAACTCAGGACATGGCTATCAAACATCAAAAACATCTACCAGACTATCCCATCTCCTTTACATGGATGATCTGAAGCTGTATGGAAAAACATCATCTGAAATAGAATCGCTGCTCAACACTGTCCGTACATATAGCCAAGATATTGTAATGGAGTTTGGCTTGGACAAATGTGCCACACTTACTATCAAACAAGGAAAAATAATGAAAACTGAAGGAATCAAGATGCCACACGAAAATAACATTAAGAGTCTGGATGAGGAAGAGTACTACAAATACTTGGGTATCCTTCAAGCTGACAACATCAAGCACACTGAAGTCAAGAAAAGATTAGAGGTGAATACATCAAGAGAGTGAAGAAGATCTTAAAATCCAAACTCAATGGAGGAAATACCATAAAGGCAATCAACACTTGGGCAATCCCAGTTATTAGGTACACAGCTGGAATAGTGGACTGGACTCAAGCAGAACTAAAAACAATGGATAGGCAGACCAGAAAAATAATGACAATGAATCATGCCCTTCATCCACGCAGTGACATTGACAGACTTTATCTACCAAGGCAAATAGGTGGGCGTGGAATGCTACAAGTACATCAGATGGTTGAAGAAGAAAAAATGGCTTTGGGATAATATCTGAAGAACAATGATGAGGATGCACTGAAATTAGTATATCAGGAAGGCTTACTAACTACTGGAGAGACCAAACTGGCCTACAAGAAAGACCAAATGAAGAACAGAATCGAGGCATGGGAAGACAAAGCACTACATGGCCAATACATTAAAAAAATAGCTGGGAAAGCAGATAATAATAAAACCTGGCAATGGCTAAGAGCAGGAAAATTGAAGAAAGAGACCGAGGGACTAATTCTGGCTGCACAAGACCAAGCCATAAGGACAAATGCATACAAAGTCAAAATTGAGAAGACAGCAAAAGACAGTAAGTGCCGCCTATGCAAAGAAGCTGAAGAAACAGTGGACCACTTGGTAAGCTGTTGCAAGAAGATTGCACAGACTGACTATAAGCAGCAGCATGACAAAGTAGCAAAAATGGTGCATTGGAAGATCTGCAACAAATATAATTTGCCTGTAAGCAAAAACTGGTGGGATCATAAAATAGAGAAAGTCATAGAAAATGATAAAATTAAACTGCTCTGGGACTTCAGAATTCAAACAGACAAGCACCTGCAACATAACACCCCAGACTTAACAACTGTCGATAAGAAAGACAAAAAAAGTCTGGATAGTGGACGTGGCAGTGCCTGGAGACAGCAGAATAGACGAGAAAGAACTGGAGAAGATAACAAAATACAAAGACCTACAAATAGAAATAGAAAGACTGTGGCAAAAGCAAGCAAGGGTAGTACCAATAGTAATAGGCTCCCTGGGTACAATCCCAAAACAACTGGAGCACCATTTCAACAACATTGGCATTGACAAATTCGCCATCAGTCAATTGCAAACGGCGGCCTTACTAGGAACTGCACCCATCCTGCGACGAGATCTGTAATACCATCAAATTATTATTATTATTATTATTATTATTATTATTATTATTATTATTATTTAATTAATTAAAAAACTGCTCTGGGATTTCAGAATTCAAACAGACAAGCACCTGCAACATAACACCCCACACTTAACAATTGTCGATAAGAAAGACAAAAAAGTCTGGATAGTGGACGTGGCAGTGCCCGGAGACAGCAGAATAGACGAGAAAGAACTGGAGAACAGAACAAAATACAAAGACCTACAAATAGAAATAGAAAGACTGTGGCAAAAGCAAGCAAGGGTAGTACCAATAGTCATAGGCGCCTTGGGTGCAATCCCAAAACAACTGGAGCACCACTTGAACACCATTGGCATTGACAAATTCGCTATTAGTCAATTGCAAAAGGCGGCCTTACTAGGAACTGCTTCCATCCTGCGACGATACCTGTAATACCATCAAACATCCACATCTGCCTATCCCAAGTCCTGGGTAAGGACTCGATAGGTAGACAAAATGCCAAATCCAGTCTGAACATCTGGCTGACTGTGCGATGATCAATAATAAAAAAGTTGGACGAGACCTTGGAGGTCATCTAGCCCAACCCCTTGCTCAGGCAGGAAACCCTATACCAGGGGTGTCAAACTCAATTTCATTGAGGGCCCCATCAGCATTGTGATTGCCCTGGGGAGGGGGCTGGGGGTGTGTGGCCAGGGTGAGTGTGGCCTACTAGGTGGGCATGGACAGAGTGGGTGTGGCCTACTGGGTGGGCGTAGCCCACTCTATATCATTTGCATCAAGGGTGCCTGTGGGGGCCTGGGCAGGAGTGGGACAGATCTGAGGGTCTCTGGCAAAAGGAGGTGGGACCGGGCAAGCGCCAATGCATGGTCCACTGGAGGAGCCTCACTGTTCCTCTCAGGCCATGTGGGGGGGGGGGGCTGGATGGTGGCACAGTTTCCCAGAGCCCTGGGCAGCAGAAGTCAAACGCCCAGCCTAGCCCTGAGCACCTGCGGCACCAAGCCCAGCCCCACTTCCCCAAGGGGGCACCCAGCTGCACTACAAAATTGTAGATTGGCTCCCAGCTGGCCTGGGCCAGGGCCAAGGCAGCGGGGGCCGTTCCCTTACTGTTTCCAGGATGGCTTCGCGGGCCACATTAAACTACTTCGCGGGTCGCATCCGGCCCCGGGGCCTTGTGTTTGACATGTCTGCCCTATATCATTTGGGACAAATGGCTGTCCAGTCTCTTCTTAAAAACTTCCAGTGCTGGAGCATTCACCACTTCTGGAGGCAGGTAGTTCCACTGGTTAATTGTTCTCACTGTCAGGAAGTTTCTCCTAACTTCCAGGTTGCTTCTCTCTTTGGTCAGTTTCCATCCGTTGCTTCTTGTCCTGCCTTCAGGCGCTTTGGAGAAT